AAAACAAACACCTGTGTCAAAACCCCAAAAAAAAAAAAAAAAAAAAAAAAAAAAAAACCTTAAAAAAATTTTAATCAACATAGGGCTGTTCTATTCCTTGATTTTTTTTTTTTATTCTGGATTGAGCTTTGAGAGTTTATATCTTTCAGAGGAATTTGTTCATTTTAAGCATGTTCTTGAATTTATTGGCATAAAGTTGTTCATATTTCTTGTCATTTTAATATGTATTATGCTCTTATTCCTGAAACTGGTAATCTATCTTTTGTTTTCCATGACCATTCTGGTGAGAGGCTTATCAGTTTTACTAATATTGGTGTCATTGTTTTTCTCCATTTTGTTTCGTATTTCATTGATGTCTGCTCTGCTTTTTATAACCTCCTGCCTACTTTGGATTTATTCTTTTTGTTTTTTTTTTAAAGGTAGAAACTGTGGTTCAGACTTTCTTTTGTAATAAGAGGTGGTATCAATTCTAGAGCTTCTTATTTCTTTGTACATACACAGATTTCTCCTACTAGTATTTCCTTTAACTTTTCTTGAAGTGGAGGTCTGCTAGTTACATTTAGGGTTTGTATGTATTTTACATGTGTTTGTTTGCTTTTTTTTTTTCTTGGTACCGGGGATAGAACTTGGGCCATTGCCCTTGTGAGGCAGGTGGCAGAACCACTGAGCCAAATCCCTAGCTGTTTGCTTTTGTTTTGAAAGATACTTTCTTGAGGCAAAAAATTGTGTTGACAGTTTTCTCCTATACTCTAAAATGTTGTTCCACTGTTTCCAGCGATAATTCTTTTTTTCCTCTAGCTTTAAAAAATCCTGGGTACTTTTAGGGTATTCCCTGTAATACTGATTATACCGTTTAATTATATTTCTTAATGTAGTGTTCTTTATTTGTGTGCTTAGCGTTCTGAGTTCTTTTTGATCTTGGGTTTCTAGTTCTCATTGTATATGGAAAATCTGAGGTCAAATTTTTTCGCTTTTCTCTGGGGACTCTGTTTAAGTCTCCATCAGCTTGCTAAATACTGTATTTAAGAGTCATGTTTTCTATACTTCACCTAGGATTGTTTTATTGCCATCTTCTGTTTCATCAGTGTACACTGATCAAAACTGAGTTTTTGCCTTTCTGGAATTGATATGTAATGACTTTCTCATGATTAGGGCTGTGAAAGAAATGCAGAGAAGGATCCTCCTTAGAGATATGGTGGACCTCTGTGAGACAGGTTTATGTACAGCTTTAAGAGAAGTCAGGCATGTGAAAAATGGGAGAAGACCTGGGCAGGGTAACAGTATGTAAGGGCCTTTGGGTAGGGAATAAAATGGTCTGGAGAGACTTTTGGAATAATCAGCAGGAGCTTGATCCTATTCCTGTAGGGCAAAAGTTTATATTTAATTATAGATATAAGAAAGTAATTGAAGGGTTTTACGCAGTAGTTAACAATCCAGTGCATACTTCTGAACAGTTTTTTAGTTGCTATACTAAGAATCAATTCACTAATTATCTGTGAAAGACTTAAGTTTCCAGACTAGAAAAATTTCTCAGGTGATTTCTTGGTCGCATGTATGTTTAATGATATGAATACAGTGGTGCAGTAGGCCACTTAAAGTGACTGCCAGCGGAAAAGACTATAGCTTGAATGACTATTCACTTTAAGTGAATTTTTAAAATTTGTCTTCCAGCTGGTGGAAGTGAAAGGCCCCAATGATCGTCTTTCACATAAGCAAATGATCTGGCTGGATGAACTGCGGAAGCTGGGGGCCGAAGTCGAAGTCTGCCATGTGGTTGCAGTTGGGGCTAAGAGCAAGGGCCTCAGCTAGAAGCTAAGGAATTGAGTATCTGATCATATGTTGATACATGATTTTTAAAAGCAGAAGGCAGTATGATTATATTTTTGATCTTGTTAGTGATAAACCTTCTAACTTAATGACTCATCGTTACATAACGTTTCACAAAACTTCGTATCTGCTTGAATATCTGGTTGATTCCACACAGTACGTAATAAACTAAAAAAATAAAACCTTGGTCATTTCAAGAGCTGATGTATCTGTGCCATTAGATTTGGAAAAGGCTGGGAAAAAAGTGGGGAAAATCAAGATGATTCACAGCTTTAAATCTTTTATTACAAAAGTAGCATAAATAATAAGTATTATGGAGATAAAACTTTTTTTTTTTTTTCCTGTTCTGAGGACACACTGAGGGCCTTGTATGTGAATGTACTAGACTAGCACTCTATCACAGCTACAGACCCACCAGGGGACAGATTCTCAAATTTAGATATTTCTTCTGCACTGGTTTACAGTGTCATTAAATACTCCTGTGATTTTCCAAGAAGGTCAGAAAGAACAGAAATTCTGCTTTCTTTAGAATTAAAAACCAAATTCTTATGAAGTTGCTTAATTTATGACTTACCCGTAAGTGCTTACTCTTAGCAGTTGGGGTTATGTCACCAGAGGCGCGGACAGTCTACAAAACCAGTTGTCCTTTCACAGCCTTCTCCTCAGAAGCATCCCTAATAATGAGCTTTGGCGCAAGTTTTGTTAGCAGTGGCATAATGAAAAAAGGACTGCCACCACCATGGTTGGAAGGGTCTTAGGCTGTGAGGGCCATGGTAAGATGACTTATCTGGAGACTTAGGACTTAGGGTTGCAGGTTTCATCCATGGACTCTGAGGCCTTGGAGGCAGTTACCCCCGTTTTTATAATTATCACTAATTTTAGAGGGCAAGCAAAAAGACTGCACGGACGACACTCAGATAATGGGTAAGAGAAGATGCCTTTTGAGTTTTCAATCACTGTGCTCATTCATGCTGATAATGCACCACAAACAGTTTCTGTGGAAATTTTATTTAGCAGTCAAAATTTCCTTCACATTCATTCTGTTGAACAACAAGATCACTCATCTCTTGCTCATTTTACTTCAAGTCATCAGTTTTAGGCACAAAGGTTTTACTTTTCTCTCAAAATCAAGTTCTACTTGAGGTTACTGCTATAGCAAGCAGATTCTGTTGAACTGTTCTGACCTCCTGTTAATACAAATTAATATCCTTTTCTTAAAGTTATTTTTGGTTTTACATTTGATCCCCATCATAAATGCTAAGACACATACAGCTTTAAGTCCAATGCCGCCTGGCCTTTGCCTGGACCCCATCAGCACAGGCGTCCACGAGCCTGTGGTACAGTGGGTGTTGGGCTCCTTGGGTTACTGCACACAGCCACACCGACACTTCACGTCACCAGTGTCATTTCTCCTCAAGTTTCACAGTGACCCAGACAAGGCTGTGATAGTTGTTTTTCATACTATGCACAATAAACATTATGTAACAACTATTCAACAAAAAATCCATATTTCACTACATTTGATTATCATACAAAAATATGCAATTTTCTATTTTAAGACAGTATTAATAGTACCTAATCTTTTTTAAACTTATAAATTCAGAAAAGTTATAAAAGGGAACTGAAATAGTGTGAGGGAAGAAAATTAGAGAAATGCTGAATCCAAAAACTAAATTTAGAAACATTTGTGATAATAAAAAAGGCAGCTTAATGAAAAAAGAATTATACTTTCAGTGGCAGGAAATGCTGTGTTTTAAGGCAATCAAGGCTGGTTTCCAATCAAGGACTGTAAAAGCTTTAGTGCCCATAAAGCTATTTGTATGAACTGAAAATAGCCTTTATTTTCTAGGCAACCAGTTGGCAAAAACATTGTTTATCCAAAGGATGAATTTATCCTAGGACACTGTATAAAGACTTGTTAAATCCAGAGATATTATCAAAAAATTTAAAAGGCAAATAATTAAAGTAGAAACCACTACTCAGCTCACTTAAAGGCAAAATATACTATCTTCCAAAAATGTATTTTAGAAAAGGAAATTGAGACATTACAAAAAATTTCAGAATCTTAAGAAATTAACAGTTAAATAATGGGATGTGTGTGCACTTGGAGAGGGATGGCATGAAGTATCAGTCAGTGCACAGGGAGCTTAGGCTATTTTTACCTTGCAAAGTTGGCCAGCTTGTCACTTTGAAAACAAGGGTATTTCAGACCAAAAATACACCTTCGTGTGCTTTTGTCTCCTCTTTGTATTCCTGTCAGGAAAGTGTGTGGAAAGGAGCGCTTCTCTCCTTATTAAAGCGGCAGTGTTTGAGATAAGTCCATGTTCCCTATTCCTAAGGATTAAGAACTCTGAGAGAAGAGGGCCCTCCAGGCAGGGCTCCAACTTGTGCCCTGTGCCAACGGCAGTTCAGCAGGCTGGACACACTGATGGGAACCCAGAGGCCTCTGAGCAGCCCTGTGGTCCGAGGGCTGTGCCTTGCCGCCTGCCTGAAAGCCTGCAGAGCCTCTTGGATCAGCACCCCCACCAGCTACTGTGTCCTTGGTGATGCTCGTGGTGACAGACATGCGGATCTGGAGACTCCTGGCTACTAGTATGAAGCCTAGAGTGAAAATCTTAAATCCAACATGCTGCGTGTAATTTTAAAAAGTGAAACTGTATTTTTCTGTTTCTCAGTATCTAAATGTCAAAGGCACTTGTAAGGTTAATGGTATCATCTACAATGAATGCTTTAAAGTTACAGTGCATATCATTTAACAGTTAGTCCTATGAAGTTAAAAAGCAAACTCATAATTTCAAACCACAGTGATCTATGGTCAATCTGAAATGCTCTTGCTGCTGTCTCCTTCTGACTGCTACTCTGATCAAGTACTGGGTAACCTTTAATAGGTAGGTGGTAGGAAAAATGAACACAGACAGCAGAAATGTAGAAAACCTAATTAGTTTGATCACAGTTAAAAGAATAGGGGGAACGTTTGCAAATCACCTAAAATAAGCCAGAACTGTAGACAGGAATAGGACATAAAAACCAAAATTACACTTTTCTTAAATTACCTGCAAAGGTAGCATGATTCAACATGTTTTTAAATATTAGTGCAAATTTCAACTATTATTCTTATATATAAAATTTTTAAGAGTTTTAAATGCCTAGATTAGCAGAGGGAAGTTAGGGCTTCCCTTTACGTGTTCAGATAATACATTTCAGTCTTCGTTTGCTAGTGTCTCAGTAGATATCCATATTTTGGCCCCACTTAAAAACTTGCTTAATGGTGTTCCTAAAATGCTTCGTCTGCATAGATTGCCGACAGGAGAAAATGGAAATGAAGAGGAGAGGAACTCAGGTGTCCCTGAGGTGGTGTGTGGGCCTTGGGCCCTGAAGTACATCCTGCTCTGCTCCAGCTCTGCGTAGCAGGCTTCCAGGGGGCCGCTGTGCTGCTGCCGCAGCATTCTGCTGAGTACGTCCACCTCGTCCGCCAGCAGGGACAGCTTGTGGAAGGCAGTGATGGAGCCCCCCAGGTGGATCTGAGCCTCAGGGACCCATCGGAAGTAGCACAGATTCCACAGTTTTATGTGTATTCCCGAGAGACAAGGCAGAATCACACCGTGGAGGTCAGCTGGTTTGGAAAACCACTCTCTAAAATATTGTTCCATATCTCTGTTGTGACTGTCAATGTGCTGAAGTGGGTCTGGCTTTCGTTTTAATATTAGTGAATTTCTCCTCGGAAACAGTTCTTGGTCACCAATGATCCCATTCTTTAAGGAAGATGGCATTCCCCTCAAGGTAGAACTGTAGCTCTTCTGCACAGGAGAGACCACAGCATTATCCTCCGGGAGTCTCTTTCTGACAGAAGACTAAAGGTGCAATGGCAAATAAAATACAGTATTTATGGAAAATGAAATTTCAGCCTCAGCGAACATTTGTTCCTTCCCTTGGAGTACTTAATATAATCCTCCTCCCCTGGACTCGCTGCTTTTCAGGGTCGATCCTCCTGAGGCTATTGCCATACCTAAAGTGAGTATATATCTTATCTATCAGATAGCTCAAATGGATATTTACAAATTTCTGGATTAGGGGAAAAAAACCTAAACCTGGCCAACTCTGGTAAGAAGAATGGCCAGACTAGATGAGTTTCAGGGAACAGGGCTCCAGGCCCACAGCCTCGAGCTGCCAACATAGATCTGAACAGGCTTCACGGGACTCAGGCACCAAGACAAAAGTCACAATGTAGCACATCGGTTAAAAAAAGGAACAATCCTTCAAAACGCTGGATTAACAGTGTTACTGTTGTGGGCTATGGCTTTATTTTTAATATTTTGTGTCCTTATGTGTGTGCTTGTGAGTATTGTACTGTTAGTTTTGTACTGTTAGTGCGTTGTGGTTTACCTTTGTCCGCTTGAAAGACTTCACAGAGCCATTCTGTACACAGGGCATGCTCTTTCCAATGTAGAAGGGGTTGTGGAAAAGGGTGCGGTCTTTTGCTGTAAACTGAAGAGACCAGTCCCACACTGAGGGGAATTTTAAGCCCTTTTCATCACCCAACTGGATATTTTTGCTTATAGCAAATTCCTGCAAAATAAAATTTTTGAATGTGTGAAAGATGCACAGCTAGAGATTTTCTCCTGCGGGCTCCTTTCTTTTGATGAGCTTTTCATCGCCATGCAAGTGAAATGTTCTGAGCCAGGGCACTCAAAACCCACTGGGGTAGCACTGTCCTGCCTGGAGCCAGGAATGTGCCAATGCTTGCGCCTACAGGTGCACTGGATGCCCTGCAAGCAGGCATGCAGGAGGCTCTGCAGCATGTTCTCGGCCTCAGGACAAGGAGGCTGTGTCTTCAGGACAGTGAAGGTGTCAGTGGGAGGAGAGCTTCACTAATGTGAGGTCATACAGTCTTAAGATGTGCTGAAGCCCCCACTCTGGATTCCCACCCAGCAGGTCAAGGCAACAACCCAAGGCCTCACTATGAGGATCACAGTGTTCCTCCGGGAGGTAGCTCTGGGACCAGCTCAGATGGAGCAGGCACCTTTAGTGATGTGCAGAAAAGGACTCTCTTCTTAGCAAGTGACAAAAGCAGGCCATATCAAGTTTATACAGAATGGTTCGCTGAAGAAAATGTCCCCAAGTAGTCTCTGGATGGTACCGAATGCTCACCCTATTTTCTATTCTGTATCTTTTAGTCTTTTCCAAATTTTCTACAAAAAGCCAAGAATTTCTTTGAAAATGGCAGGGGGGTTGCAACGAATAAATGTTACTACCAAAAAAAAAAAAAAAAAAAAAAAAACAACAACAGCAGTCAGGAGGCACTGGCTGCATCACAGCTAGGGATGTACCTCTGACCATGATGGCTGGAAATCGTTGACAAATGGGTAACCTATAGAATAGTATAGGCTCTTTTGAAAGTTTTACAAAATGTTCATTTCAAATAAGAAAATATTAAGCACCAAATATACTTAACCTTTTTCTTAGTTATTTGAGATTTCACCAAAGATGGATGGATTAAAACAACTGATCTTTAAAGGACTAACATCTAAAATCTAGTAAAACAAATTGTGACCTCTTTAATGTTCCTTAGCAAAGTATATAAAAAAACTCACTTTTTTAAATATGTAAAATTAAAAACATTTATCTCCAAGGAACATCAAATTTCCTAGAAACAGTAATACTAACATCTACTAACAGTTAAGGCAGCCTCAGAATGGAGAAAAAAAGAACTCCCTTTGTTTATAGCAAGTATGCACAGGGGACAGTGATCAGGCCAGTCCCTACTGGAAGGATGGGAAGGCGAGATTCATATTAGTATCTGTCAAACAATTTCTGAAGTAGACAGATACAGCTCTAGTGTATGAGATGGAAAGAAAATGTAGTACTTTGTTTTTGTACTGGGGATCAAACTCGGGCTCTTACACTTGGCAAGGTAGGCACCGGAACCACTGAGCTAAATCCCTGGCCCAAATGTAGTACTTTTGAATATCTGCTTTTATTCGTGAATAGAAATCTATTTGGCAGTATCTCTCAGCACATCCAGAACCCAGCCAAGAAGCAGAAGTGAGCATGGGTGTCTCTGAGAGCTGTAAGGTTCTCTGCTTGGGTGTCCACTGCCATGTCACAGGACCCTAAAGGTGATATCCTCTCAACACACTTGGGTTGAATGAGGCTAAGGCTTCTTTAAGTCTTTTCCTCCTTCTGCAGCTCAGAGTGTGTGAGTGTGTGTGTGTGTGTGTGTGTGTGTGTGTTGTGTGTAAGCACATGGAGCAGTGAAGGAAGAGCCTGGAGAGAGGTAAAGGAAACAAGCACAGCCCAGGAAAACAAGAGCTCACAGTAAAGAAAGGCACAACGATGATAGTGCAAGAAATGAAGAAGAGTAGCTGGCAAATCTTTTATTTTAGGAACACATACATTTTCCAGACCTTCAGAGTCTGGGCCTATTGTTGTCCTCTAGCAGTTTGGAAAAGATGAACCCTTTTAAGGAAGTATAAAATGTATTTTACAACTATTTCCTTCCCAAACTATTCATTCTAAAAACTGTCTGATAGAGCTGAGTTTCTCCGAGCTCTGGCCTCCCCAAAAGCAGCGATGCTGAACATTTCTCAGGCTGCTGTGTTCTGGAACCAGATCCCACGCTCCCTTCCTGACCCCCAGTTTCTGCCTCTATATTCAAAATCCAGATTGGGTGCTTTTCTTTGGGACACTCCACATTCATGAAATTTTCCCTACAATAGCCTGAATAATGCATTTTGTCTTCACACCTACATTTCCGAGTAATTCATATTTGGGATAATTTGCAGACTGCATCACATTTCATAAAATATTTTCACCTTGCACAATGAGAGCAAAGTGTGTGGAAACTAGGCTCGCAGGCTGACTCCTTAGAGGGCAGCAGCCTGCCGTGTTTCCAGACGGGGGCCAGAATTCTGGATCCCTTCTTGTACCCCATCACACAGCCTTGCTCAGGCCCTCGTGCCGAGGCTGAAGACCACAGAGCTCCCTGTGCCCATGGCCCTTGTCTCAGTCTCCCTCAAGCCCTGAATGAGCTGCCATTCAATTTCTCTCCATGGTCTCGGCAGCATTGCTGGGTTCCTCCCGTTGCTCATCCACACACAGGTGAAAGAACAATACAAGAGACGTAGAGTATGTGGTAAGAGGGCACCTGCAGAGACTCTCAGCCTACCACAGTGTGGACATCCACTGCTAAACTTCCTGCTCTACAACTCTTAAAGAAAAATAATCTTGTTTCGTACGAAATGTATTGAGTTAGGAAACATGTCCTCAAAGAGGATCATTTTCATCGAACAAGACAAATGTGAAAATATAAATATAGAAGCATGCCATTTAAGGTGGTTAAAATAATTTATAACCTTAAACTTATGAGCAATTTATGGAGAAAAACATGTAAAATGTTCATAAAAATGAAAAAGGCTTTTTTGTCTTTAAAATAGATTCAGAAATTACTCTTGAAATGGTAACAAAATTACATATTTTAAGAATGCAGTTAGTTGTACTTCCATTGTTCAAATGAATACATAAAAGCAGCCACAGCCATCACGTCGCTTACCGTGCTTTGCTTCACTCGCTGGTGAGGAGAGTTGAACAGGAAGGTGCCGAACAATGAGATCCGAGTACTGTCATACAGCACTGCTAAGTAGGTCTCGGAGAACTCAAAGGCTGCTGGGTATTGTTCTAACAGCTGCCACGTAGCATCCAAGAAGAGCAAAAATAAGGGAGACTGGCAAATACAGAGAGACAGCGGGATTGTGGGCTCAAGTTGAACAGATTGAACACACCTTAAATACCATACAACACCCCTTACCTGCAAAGCTACAACACAGACAGGTTGTCGCTTTATGAATGGAGAGCAACATACATTTTTATTCCTGGAAATAGTTCATAAAATAGAACATAAAACGACCCAATTCTATAATTAACTTCTGGTTGACCCTATAGGCTCAACATCCAGAAAAGTTTCAGAAAGCAGCATGCATCAGCCTCTAGGCCTCTGGTGTACCCTCCAGTAACCGCAGACACCTTGTTCAGGTCTGCTACACAAGTCAAATGGGGCTGGAAACACTCCTCAAAACTGTAAGGGATCCAAAGCAAGAACCAGCACAGCTGTTGCAAAAGCAGCCCTCTCAAACTGTTCTGAACACATGTGTGCCAGTTTGAAGGAAATATGATATTATAAAAGTGTTATTTCAAAATATCTCAGGTGCTTATCTGCTTTGCCTAAGAATTAATGCAGAATTCTTCAGGTAGCTTCTAACTCAGGCAACCTGAATCGGTAACTTTAAAACTTTCACCTATACAGTTATGATAATCTTTGTAAGTACAACAATTTGGATTCTAATACATCAGTCTTAGACTAAGGAAGCTAAGATGTAATGATACAGTATGTTTTTAAAGCCCCTTATCTCTTTATGTAATGACACAAAATTTATCTTATCTACACTTGAAGACTGCTAATAAGGCAGTAAGACTCGTTACCTCTTTCTCTGATTTCTTCAAATGGTTGCATCTGTCTAGGAACTGATATCCTGCCATGACCCACTCCTTCTGTATAAGACTCTGAAACCCAGTAATCGTCCTGAAATATGAATCCAGCATCACCTGAACAAGGGAAGCTACAAGACAGCTCAAGTCTCTTCCCTCCTCCTCTGTCAAGAAAATGCAAAGAAAATTATGACAATGAAACATCTTAAAGTTGAGACAATTCAGTATCCTGCACCTAGGCTACCTTCAAGACAGCCCCTGAAAGGAAAATTTACCGGACCCATCAAATTTTATATGTACATATTTTATACTTTTATAAAAACTGAATTATTGTTTAGTAGGAGATGGCCTTATACATGGATATTTGAAAGATAGCAGCAGCTCATCCCTCACATTTTTGACAGACTCCATTCTACCACTCTTTTGTCAAAAGCCCTCAGTATCATACAATCTTCCTGTTGAGGACTCCATGACAATGGCTCAGAGGTGAATGGGGAGGATGGGCTTCTCTCCATTATTATGTGAAAAGGTGGGAAGCTTTCCTTCCTGTCTCTTATGGCTTTGTGCTTTTTAATATGGCCAAAATTACTTTGATAATGAAGCCGGAGAAAGAATGAGAAAACAATGAATGGATACATTTTATATGATTATAGATGTACAAATCATTAACAAAATACTGTATTAATAAAACAGAGTACTCCAGAAATCCAAGAATTTATCCCACAAATGCAAGGTTTCTCTTCACAACCCACACCATATTAATAAGGGGCAACAACAACACAATCATCTCATCAGATACCCAAAAAGCACCTGACAATTCTATATTCATTCCTCATAAGAACTCTCAGCAAACTAAGAACAGCAGGGAACATCTTCAACCTAATCAGAGGCATCTACAAAACCTACTACTAACATCATTATTCTCATTGGTGAAAGGCTGAATGCTTTTCCTTTAAGACTAGAAATAAACCAAAGACATATTTACTGATAGCATGATCCTCAAGTATAAAATCCTAAAGAGCCAGAAAATAGTTACTAGAATAGATTTAGTGAGACTGCAGGAATTCCAAAGAGTAACAATCAGTACACAATAAACTTAAGCTACTATCACAGTAAGATAAAAACTTGAGGTTTGCTAAATGCAAGACTTGTAAAATAACTATAAAACATTGCTAACAAAATGAAGTAAGACCTAAGTAAATGGAGGTACATTAACTTCATGGATCAGCAGTTCAAAATAGCAGGCGTTCACCCTAAATTGATCTATGGGTTTAACACATTCCTATCAGGTAGACATTTTTTTTATTTTTTGGCTAAGATTAAAACATTATACAGAAATACAAATGACACATAATAGCCAAAACAATTCCAAAAACAAGGTGGGGTAGTTATAGATCTCAATTCTAATACTCACTGCACAGCTACAGTGCTCAAGATAATGTGGTACTGGCCTATGAACTGGCATAAGGATCAATGAAATAAAAGAGAGACTAAAAATATACCCTTACCACTTACTGTGACTTTGGACAAAACTGCCAAGGCTACTTATTTATTTATCTGTAATACTAGAGACTGAAACCAGGGCCTCTGCACTGAGCTAAATTCCAAAGCTTTTTTTTTTTTAAGAGTCTCACTAAATCCTCTAAATTGCCCCCGGTGGGCCTGAACTTGTGATCCTCTGGCCTTAGCTTCCCAGGGTGCTGGGATTACACGCAGTGCCATCATGTCCATCTGCCCAACAATTTAACAGAGAAAGCACATTCTTTTCAAGAAATGGTGCTGGAACAAGTTAATTCTATATATGAAAGAAATGAATTTAGACTCTTACTTTCTAACATATGCAAAAAATTAATTCAAAATGGATCATAGACCTAAATGTTAAAAACTAATACCATTAAAAAACTAATAGAACTAATAAAAGTTCTATGCAATGAAACAAGAATGATCTTTAGGCAAATACTTCTGAGATGTGGCATTAAAATACACAATCCATTAAAGAAAAAGCAGTTAAGCTGTACTGCATGAAAATTTAGAACTCAGTACTTCAAAAGGCATTAAGATAATGAAAAAAGTGTGGTGGTACTCACCTATAATTCCAGCTATTCAGCAGGCTGAGACAGGAGGACTGCAAGTTTTGAGTCCAGCCTGGGCAACTTAGCAACTCCCAGTCCCCCAAAATAAAAAAGAGCATGAGGATACAGCTCAATGATAGATGGGCTCTGGGTTTGACACCCCATTATCACAAAAACGAAAGGAAGATAGAGAGAGAGAGAGAGAGAGACAGAACAGTCGCTGACTAGTAGAAAAATTGGCAAATCATATGAATATACAAAAAACGTGTTCCTATAATACATAAAAGTTTCTTAGAACTTGATGAAATGCATGAGGCAAATGTAAATGACAACTAGAAAAAGCATCTCTGCTAGAATGATCCTAAAGACCGTCAACAGTGTTGGACAGGATGTGTTGAAACTGGAATCCTCACTCATTGCTGAAGGGAAGGAAAATGTGGCCCACAGGTGTTAGAAAATACTTTGGCAGGTACTTTATTTTCTAGTTGTGAGACACTGAGCAGGCCCAGCACCTTATTTATTTGTAATATGAGTAGTAATGGAATAGACATCTCCAAGATTTCTTTTAGTTTTACATTTCAAAATTTTGTATTACTTCCTAATATTGTGTTAATACTGAGTCCTTCAGTTTGGCAATTTCTTACAAAGTTGGGCATAAATATACCTTATAATTCACCAATTCCATTTCTATGATCCACTCAAAAGAAATAACTTATATCCCCTAAAGGCTTTTAAAAGAATATTCATAGAAACATACTTCATAATAGCCAAAAAGTAGAACCACCGAAATGTCCAACAAGTTAATGGATAAACAAACGCATCTGCAAATGATAGATTATAATTTAGAAGTGAGAAGGAACAAATTACTGAAAGGTGCTACATGAATGAACTTCAAAGGCAAGTACCCAAAGAAGCCTAGACAAAGACCATATTTTGTGTGATGCCACATACATGAAATATCCAGAAATGGTGGTCTACAGAGGCGGAAAGCAGATGAATGACTGCCTAGAGCCGGGACACAGAAGTCCTTTGGAATGATGAAAAATTTCTAAAACTAGACTGGTACATTTACTAAAAATTACTGAACTGTACATTTGAAGTGGGAAAATTTTATAGTATATAGATTATAGCTCAGTAAACATTAATAAAAGTATCCGTAAAACAGGCTCATTACTTCTGAGGCCTCAAATACATGGAGAAATTGAGGGTGAGTAGAACTTTGAAGTAAGATGAGAACAGGCATGGTTTGAGGGGTTAGAAAACACCTGATTGCTGGGTTTTGCACACGTGCAATTTAAACATGCACTTTGTGTCAATTAAGGATTTTATTTAATGCACTACAGTTGTACCTCAGTTCTCGAATGTGTTTGCCAACAGTTTGGTTTGCAAATAGAAAGGTTTGGCAAATCTGTTTCTGTTTGCAACTCTGCAATGGGTGACAAACATGATGCAGCTATCTTTCCCACACAGACACAAACATGGTCATCTTTTCCAAAATTGTAAAACATATTAAGTTCATGAACTTAATACCACTGTACTATTCTTTTTTTCCTAAGATTTTTAAATTATCTTTGCCTTGTTAAAGTCCATAAGGATCAACAGTTGGTAAAAATACCCCACAGGTTTAGGTAGCATCTCAGGATTAGTATACTGTACTATGCAATGTAACTTGGAACTTTGTAGTCTACTACATTTTATCTGTAAACTCAGAAATTCTATTAGCTGGAAAATTCCTTAATACATAATTATCCCTTGCTTAAGTGAAACAGTTTTACATTGCAGTTTATTCCTATGAAATATTAGACAAAATTCACATTATTGGCTATTCGGTCTATTTCTTGTTTCCTTCTGGTTACAATCTACCGTGAGGCAGAAGGCATTTGCATTAAAACAAATTTGTATGAATTAGGAATATAGCAAGATTAGAGAGGACATCCTGACAAATTAATACTGGGTAATAAACCAAGATAGGACATAACCCATCCCATAAAACAGGAAAGATTTAATGAACAGTAGAAAATCAGACTCCTTTCTATTCTACCCACAATCTTTCCACTATTGCTTACTAATGTGCAAAATTTGTAGTGTATTTGATAATACTAGAATAAAAAGACATTGATAACACTGATGTAATTTACTTGAACATGGACAACCAGTCGCCAAGATTGACTGGCAGTGTAGTCAAAGTGTTTTGAGGAATTATTTTAATTACCTTGTAGGACTACAGATAGATGTTTGCTTTCTAGCATATATACAATTTCTGCTGAATGTTTAAGGAATGCCCTGAAAAGAGAAAGGGAAAAAATACTATTAAAAATGTCAAAAAAAACAAAAAACAAACTGTCACCACAAATACATTGTAAAAGTACTTGAAATCAAGCAAAACTCATCTTTCATTATATGCATTTGTATTTTCAATCTTTATGAATTTCTTTGGCATTTATAATATTTTTCAACAGAGTACATTTTGTGATTTATGTATCAGGAGGTAAATTCATCAACCCTTTATAAAAAGACAGGGCTTGACTTAGATAAAAACTGTAAAATGGTAAAATTACAGAGTTGCAGAAGATAGTGTGGTTGCCGGGAGTAGCAATGGGATGCAGGGTGGGCAGCAAGAGAAAGCCCTGGGATACAGCACCATTCTGTATCTTGACAATGGTACGGGTTCTGATAAAACTGCAGGGAACTGCATGTGTGTTCAGCACATGGACACAGAAGCGCATGTATAAACCGATGAAATATGTCAACTGTACCAATGTCGATTTCGTGGTTTTGATGCCTTATTCTAGTTATGTAAGATACTGCCACTGAAGGAGGTTGGGTGAAAATTACCTGGCTGTACTATTTTTGTACATTGTGTGAGTCTAGAATCGTTTCAAAATGTTAAAGAAAAAAAAGGGAAGTTGACAAACCTGACATATTCTAACCACCGAGTATTTTCCAGTGAAGATAACCATTTCTCTTCCGTTTCTTCAAAAGGCTCTGTAATATAAATGGTAACTATATATACATGTATATATCACACACACACACATTTTAAGGCTATTAAGCTTAAATTAGCATGATCCATATAAGCTAAAAGATACAGCAGTTTCTAATACTTAAAAGTTGGCTTTAAGGAAGAACCATGCATTTCCATATTAATAATACGGAGTAAACAGATAAGAAGACACGTCATGCTCCTAAAACAAAGTTAAAGAAAGCATTCCCCAGTGCACCTATCTGCTCTCTGGAGCTTTCAGGGAAACTGGGGAAGTCCCACCAACCCTGTTTCCTGAGAGCTCATGACTCTGTCTTCCCGGCCCTTGATTCTGGCCCTCCCAACTAGCACGAAGGGCCACCCGGACCCCATCTCACACCTTCTTCACTGCAAGGCCTGCCCTCCCCTGCTGCCAGTGCTGGCTCTCTGCACACATGGCCCTGGGGACTGCACACGCAGGAGTGAGGACATCAGGGTACAGATCACAGTCAAGACACTGTTTTTCTAGTCACCCTGCCCCTGCCCTTAGAGCTCTCCCTCCAGGCAATCACCCATTGTTCAAGACCTGCTGCAAGACCACGTCTCCTAACTGCTGGGTGATGCAGGAGCTCTACCTTTATGCCGAAGATGTAAGATGTTTTCATGTGGCACATCACAGCCACCTAAGAGTTGGTTCAAATACATAGATCAAAACTCTGTGGCTGCAGATGCAATACCAGTTCTGTTTGAGACTTATGTGGTCACCAATCTCAAAAACACACCCTATGAATTAAAAATCTTAGCATCTCTGTTAGGCAATACTGTTAGATACTACTATATCTTTAATAATTTGGAAATTTTAACAGGTTCATTTCTTTCTCTCCAAAACAAAAAGCAATTGAAACTTCATTTGCTAGAGGTTCTGATCTTCTCATATGATAAAAGTTGAGCAAGTATCTCAATGAGTGTCACCTTAAGCATACCAATTTCAGTGTTTTTAAGGAACATTACTTCTCCTCATGGTTCTCATATGATTCTCTATCCCCCTTTCACTACATATATAAATAAAAATGAAATTACCATTAACACATAGTTGCTTAAGCTTTACAAATGCTGCCTGTATGTCTTGAATATTAGGCAAAGTCTTATCCAAATCCGACTTGTAAACATCAGTTCTCTGTGGATGACTTTTAGTTATTGCATTACAAATCCTAACAAAAACAAAACACTTCAGTCACCATTCTTTCATTTTTTTAACAAATATTTAGTCAACACTAATAAGCTGAAGCTTCTAAGACCAAGAGGACGAGTGAGGGCTCTGCCTTCATGGAGGGTACATTCTGGAAGGGTGTAGAGCAAAGGAGAACGAGGTGGGCTGTGGGGAAGGATGGTTCAATCAAGTCACTGCAGACTACTTCAGGGCAGAACGGGCTCCTCTGTGACGACACTGAAGCTGAAACACAAACAACGGGAGTGACACGAGGACCAACCGGAAGTGTTCTAGACAGAGAGACGCTGCTACAGAGGCCCTGTTGTGAGAACAAGTATGGCTGTAAGAAAATCCCTGAGAATTCCTTGGGCTAGGAGACTGGCCTGAGGGGAAAAGGTGTGGCGATGTGGTTGGACAACAAAGAAAATCTGCCCTATTTATGAAAAATAGGACACTAAAAAATGCAAGGTGTTAAAATAATTCTTAGATTACTAAAATAATTTAAATAGCCACTGGCTATAAGGTTTTATAATTAATTCTCATCCAACAGTGTTGTACCCTTCCTTCTAATGGCAAAACTCTTGAATACATAATCAGCACATGCCAGTAAGAACAAATGCTGGAATATAACAGAACAGCTAATTCCAATGTATTAATATAACATTAATATCCACCTAATACAATTAAGATAAAATAGGGCCTTGTGTGAATTGCAGCCATGTTTTCTGGAAAACTGTAGAGGTCATGCAAAGGTCACATGGCTGTTACTTGCTTCAGTAAATGCTGCTTTTGTAGTTATGGCACTGAGGGAAAACACCCCAGGATAGTCCCCATAATGGACTATGGTATTTCTAAGGCTCTCTAGACCTATTTTTTTGTTTGTTTGGTTGGTTGGTTGGTTGGTTGGTTGGTTTTTTTTTTTTTTTTTTTTTTTTTTGGTACTAGGGATTGAACTTGGGTCTTTATGCTTATAAGGCAGGCGGCAGACCACTTAGCTAAATCCCTGGCCCTCTCTAGATCTGTTTTTAAAGATCTGTTCATTTTTCCTCATTTATTCAATAAGTAATTTATAAATATTAGGCACTTCCTGGGGTGAACTATAGATGATCTGCAACAGAGACACAGCAATGTCACAGGGCCTATGGTCTAGAAAGAAAGGCAATAACAAACACACACATAAATGGAAACAAGGGTGAAGAAAAGTTAGAGGGCTCCAGAGGATGCATAACTGCAAGTCCTGACCTCACCAGGTAGGCAGGGGGAAGACTTAGATTAAGGAGGTGAACTCTGGACTACAATACAAAGGATGAGAGAGTACCAAGTGGCGGGGGTGTGTGTGGAAGGAGCACTACGAAAACAGCCCAGGAGGAGGGAAAAGCACTGGAAAATGTTAGGAGAGCAAAAAACCAGAGGACGTCCAGGAGAAGACAAGAGGGAAGAAATGAGGCAAGCAAGACACACATGGGTAAAGCTGGGGTGAAAAAATGTGGGCTTGTAAGATTGTGAAAAGTGAAGAGACAGAATCTAAGGAGGACTGGAGATGGGGAAGCAATAGAAAGAGACAGGTAATAGGGCTGACCCTCAGGATGGGCGAGGCCTGGTGGTCCATCTCTGAGTTTGGTTTTGCACATATAAAATGTGCCGGTCACTGAAAGCACAACCTTGAGTGAGCACCTTCAGGAAGGGAACACAGAACAGGCAGAGAAAGTTGCCTTAGACTCTATGTGATGACCAGAGGGAAGGGGACGGGCCTGCAGGGAGAAGAGAGTGCCAGCAAGGAAGGGGGCAGCAGGACAGTGGACAGAAACAGCACTACGGCCAAGACAGCATACCTGAGAGTAACTGCCAGAGTGCCTGACACTATGGGCAGGACGGAGAAAGGTCTCCTACCTCAGTGAGGCAGAGGCTACTGAGGACTTGACAGAGGCTGCAATGTGTATGTGGGGGCTCAGACCTCACACTAAGCTGAAAGAAAAGTCTGGTTGTTTCCTGAAGTGCCTCAGCTGGGTATCACTGCAATTTCAGGGTATGTTAAAGGCAATGTCATTGTGAGATGTCTGCAAGTATTTTATAAACCAAGTAATAAATTGTATTTACTATGACTCAAATAGTGTGCTTACTATACTCATGACAAAGACAGCTATCTAAAGCAAAACCATTTCTCAGTTACCTCTGGTTGATTTTCCTCTGCTGCAGCACATCCTTGATGAGGGCCATTCGCACGAGAGCACTGCCATTGGAGTGGTTCCAGCACCAGAGCTAGGAGAGAGGCAGAACCCTTACTTACCTAGGTAAACGCCGTGGTCATCAGCATCAATGAACACAGCCAAAATCACTTACTGGCATCCTTCTTCCAACAAAAGAATGGGAAAAGATCTTCAGATCTTGGTCTGCTAAAGAGCTTGGCACTACAAAGTATTCTGGAAGGCTGGAGGGGAAGAAATCAAACTTAAGAAGTCTTTGCTCAAGGGAGGCCTAGTATACTCTGTAGATACCAGCTATACGTAACACATTTATCTCCCCTCAATATGCACCTCACTTGGTGGCCATACTGGCCAGAACTAACGATCCTGGACGTTTCTGTCTACAACAGGTGTGATGTGGTCGTTTCTCACAAAATTGTAACATGAGAAAAAGATTTTTTAAATATTTATTTTCCAGAATGACTATTAATCAAACATATACAGTCTCTAGAAAACATACCCACCTTTGTTCTCTTCATAGGCTGTGGCTAAACATATGCCAAGCAAACAAAACAGAACCCCATCATCTCCCAAGAAGCTTCAGCTCCCTTCTTACCTCCCTCCTCTACCCTTCCCACCCCTTCAAGGCACAGTGACACCGCAGGACACTGATCCACTCAATGCACCTCAGCAATGCTCCTCTCTTCCCTCTTCCACTTAGCCTGGCAGGTGACAAAGGCAGGCTGAGCAAGGCCCATCTGCACCTTCTTAGCACACGTACCTCAAAGCATGCTGGCCTTGTACGTCAACCTCAAGGGGAAGCACAGGAGACAGGACACGTGCTCCAGAGCACCACCCCAAGATCTGTACCCTCAGAAGTTCCTAATTCAGAATTAACTGGTAGTAACAGGGTAGTGTCCTCTCCTATTTTTCCCCTAAAATGCTGATTATCTGCATGAATGAAGGAGGACTTCAGTGAACCCAAAATATTTTAAAAATTTCACCAGTACTAAATATTAGACAAATGTAAAAACAAATTTCTGGTCACTTTTGAAGGACTTTACAGAACCTGCTATTTTGAAAATGGGTAATGATAAACGTCATCATATTGTATACCTAAAAACTTAATGAACTTAATGAATACTTAATGAAGTACTAATAAACTTAATGAATTAAAAAAAAAAAGAGAGAGAGTAAATGTAGGCCAGGGATGTAATTCAGTGGCACAGTGCCTGCTTGGAAAGCACAGGTCCAGAATTCGATATCTGACACCAAAAAAAAAAAAAAAGTAAATGTAAAGATTTATACTGCCTTTCTTATATGAACTATATTTCAGGGTAATAAAGAAAAGAACTTGATAGAAAAAAAAGAATATGACAATAGCAATCCTTAATAACACATCTGGGCAATGATCCTCACTCCCAGGGAAAGCTATATTTTGGCTGCTGAAACCATGATATAAAAAGTGAAATGTGTACTGAATGGATCAGAGTGACAGCCCCAAGTCTCTTGGTCAGTCAGCACTGTAAGAAGCATGAGGTAGAGACAGAGACAGAGATACACACCGGACAATTGGGTCAGCCTGCAAGTGAGAGGAGGTGAGGGTGGAGGGGAAGACACATGTCAAGTGAGCCAGCTGGAGACTAGACACAATGCCCCAGGAGGCACAGGCATCAGCACCTAAGCAACCATTCTTGCCAGAAACAGTGAACTTGGGTTCATTTATGCCTCTAGAGTCAACTAACTCAGGATGTAGAGCATATTAGAGGATACTGCAGGGATGAAACCAGCAATACCTAGAATGTGGAAAATTCTATACAACAAATGAGCTGGTTCTGTCTAAAAATAAATGCTAAGTATACGAAGGTGGGAAGAGATCACTGAAGATTAAGAGGCCAAGGCGACATACCAAGCAAATTCAATATAAAATTTTCTTAGGATCTTGATCATAACAAACTAATTTTAAGAGCATTATAAGATAGCCGGGAGTGGTGGCACATGCCTGTAATCCGAGCACTCGGGAGGCTGAAGCAGGAGGATCACTGTGAGTTGAGACCAGCCTAGGCTACATAGTGAGTTCCAGGTCAGTCTCAACTACATAGTGAGACCCTGTCTCAAAACAAAACAAAAGAGCTTGTTAAAAAGATAAAATGTAAATGCACACTGATTAGATTACTGATGATAGTAAGGAATTACTGTCAACTTCCTTCAATGAACATTTATATTGTAATTATTAAAGCATAATCACAGATATTTTATTAACCCTAACATGACAGCTATCGGTGGCAGTCTTCAGAGAGCAGTCAGTCCTGATAAATACATCATTGTTAAAAACGAACTCACCAAGTGGATATCATGTATCCCTCGTTAATAGAACAAACTCTCCACCCAGAAGCACCTGTCCTCTTGATTTCTCTGTCCCAGTCTGAATAAGTTTCAAATAGTGGAGTTTTCTGGCTGGTGGTGCCGCCGCCAGCTCCAATCCCTCCTCTTCCTCCACCTTCTGGCGAAACCCCATTAATTTTGTTGGCTGTGGGAAAGGCAATACAGTTAGCTTAGGTGTGGCGTCACATTTCAGCCAGCATTAGCTCTGCCCTTTCTGCGCCTTCACTCACACGTGCTCTGATGTGGCAGCTCCTCCCTGCTTCATCTTTCAAGTCTCTTGCTTTACTCTTTCCACTTAAAAATAACTCATCTAGTCTTGTCCTTACCTTTGATTTCCCTGTCCTGCTACAGGTTCTATCTCATCTGCCTTCACACATAAATAAGCAAATCAACCTGATTTTGAAAAGTGCATTTGACTGAGCCAGGGATTTAGCTCAGTGGCACCATGCCTGACTTGCAAGCCAGAGGTCCTGATTTTGATCCCCCGTACCAAGCCAAACAAACAAACAAACAACCCCCAAACAAAACGAAAACAAAAGTACATTTGACCAGGCTGGTCCACTCTGGCTACTGTGCCACACATTCTTCTTCCTTCCTTTTACTGACCACCTTTCCATATAATGAAGAAAGCCTGGAAATGTTTTCTCTTCATTTTCCAACCCTACTGTTCATGGAAACTATTCCTGACCTTCCCAAATTGTAGGGTAAATACATGTCATTTGTTTATTTTCTCCACATATTTTGTCTGGGAAAATGAATGCATCTAACAATTATGTCTGTTCTCAAGCTCGCTGAATCTTTCATTTTTGCAATACCAACTTCTCACTTATCAGCTTACTAGAAAATTCTTGGTTTCCTTGACAAAGCTCACAGCACTGCTCGCGCTCTGCTAGAGTGCTGGCCATGGATGGCAATTCTGGCATAGTGGGCCCAGACCAGAATTCCTTAGCAGGAAGCTTTCCCTAAGAAAGGAGCACACACTAGGGGAGCATGGCTACAGCCTGGGAGACCCTGCAAAATGGCTAGAGAGAAAGCTATTCCTCAAGTTAGCCAGATCCGTACCAGGGTGACAAAAGCACAGTTCTTCCTGGTCCTGCTGGACAGCCATGAGCTGTAACTGTGGCAAACTTCCATGCCAACACCCCTCACCAGATGTTCTAGTATACTCAAACCTGCCAGCAATTTGGCATAAGACACAATGTCCTGAAAAAGATGCTAGTCCTTGCCTTAGCCTTTTAATCATGCTCATTTTCCAATGGAATCAAGAGAACCTAAATGGCTTCTCTTGACCTTAAAGATCTTCACAAAATGTTGTTTGCCATTATTCCCAATTCCAATTCTTCCCTGTAGCCATACAAAACCCTTAGTTGTCCCATGAATGTTCCATGTCCATTCTACAAATCATTTTTCACTCCTGGTGCAAGACGGGTCTTTTCTGAGAATATACAAGATGCTAAAGTCTGAGAGCAGAAAGATGAGGAAAATTTCATCTACTCTGAAAGCACTAACAAGACAGCAAGAAGTAAATTCAATAGTCAAGTGCACGAGATGCCTGAGTGTAAAGAGGACACAGAAGAGGAAGCTCCAAAGTTTCGCTAAGTGGGATGGCTGGGCCAGGAAATGCTTCATGACCTGACCATATGTGAACAGAGTTCTAAGGAATGTGTCAAGTTACCAGGTAGCTAGTGAGGAAGAAGTAGGCATTCTGGGCAGTGAAGAACATTAAAAAACATGAGACAACTGCAAACCATCAAGTAATTAAATATAGCTACATTAGGGATGCAAGAAGTGGCAGAACAGAGGCTGGAAAATCAGATAAGGCTGAGCCCACAGATAACTTCATGAAGTTTTCAATTTTTTGGTTCAGAAGCATAAGCTGACATCTTATCAATTTGATAACAAATATGAATCTGCTCTTTTTTTGATATTATTTGCCCAATAATACTCTGACTGATGAAAAGAGTCCTTATAGCCAGTTTCTTTGATGTTAAAAGAATAGCAGCGGACCATTGTTGTTTATACTTGTGCTTCCTGAGGTATTTGTGTGGAGCCATGTGCCAAGGTCTGTGGGTACTGCACACCTTCCTGCAGGCCAGGATACTCAGAGGTATGTGCACAACCAAAGAGCCTTTCAGAGACAGCTTTTACTCTTGTGATGCTGGATAGGAAAGAAAACTTCAGAAAACTGAAGGCAAAGATTCTTTTCCTAGATCCACTACAGGACCTTCTGATCTTTTTGTGGAAACAGCTTTGTCACCTACCTGCCTGCATAAAGGACTTCTTTAATCCAGCCAATGAATCAAGGTGTCATCCAGAAGTTCAAGAGTAGATTACTGGGCATCTTTCACTCACAAATTAATGAATTCTGACTGCAGTGTGTGGAAATTTCAGGCTTCCTTTGATCTTAAAGATGCAGGTTATGCTTCTGTAACAGCATGGAAGGATGTTAAAGGATGTTACCCTAAGAAGAAACTGAACAAAAGTTTGGCCAGTGTTTGTGAAGTATGTGCTAAAAGAGAAGTCTGAAGGATATAATACAAAAAGTTCCTAAATACTTTAAGAATTAATCATCAAATTTTATTAACAAGTAGTATAAAGAAATAAGAACTGATTCACAGGAAACCCAGTGGTAGAAGAGGTATGGGTTGATAAACTAAAGTATTATATACCAGAGATGCCCACAAGAAATGAGTAAAGAAAAAGGCAAAAAGTAACTTAAGCAGGCCATCAGTAACCAGCTGTATTTGCTGAATCCAGCACGTTACATTCCTGCATAAGTCATGACTCTGTACATGGGACCAGATAATTTTTATTAGGAAAACAGCCTAAGGAATTGGGCTATATCACCAAAAAACTGAGGCAGGAATCAAAGACTGTTTCCTACAATTCTTGCATCTCTTGAAATAAGCTACTTTTTTGCAGCTCTGAGCAAGGGTCTTACTGAAGATAACCTGGATGATCACCGTTCTGCAGCCTGATGATGATGGCCCAATGGACATTTACCCAAGTGCAGAATCACTAACACTCTATCTTTAGACAAGAGCTAAGTTCACTGCATATTAAAAAGAAACTTAAAAAAATAAACTGTGCTACTAAGTCTAAGATATAATTAATGTACATTTTGGTAAGAGAAGTTATAAATACTTTTGTTATCCAATTTCTATAAGGACAAGATAAAAGCTTTCTGCAGGAATTATTCCCATTTATCATCTCTTCAGCGTTGGTTAGTATCATCTAAAGTAATAAAAACACACTACACACACCTGTGGACTATGTACGATGACAGTTTAATGTGTCTGTAACAGTGATATTGGAATGTACTTTACATATGGGCCATTTACATTACTGCTGTATGTTTTAAGATAAAACGCTAGTATAATTAATAATTTATAAGCCCCAGCATGGATCTTTCATTGTAAACACACACTGACTGATTTTCTTCATCCAATAGTGAGAGAACACATATACTTCAGCCAGCTAGTAGATGTGCAATCAATCACTAACCTACAAGGGGCTAACAGGAGAGAAGGCCTCTTTATTTTCTCTATCCTTTTATGAATTCTGAAACATGGGCTATTAAAACTAGTCTGGATACAAACAAGTGGAATTACAGAATCTTCTAGAATTCTCCTTGTGCTGTCATGGTGACATCTGTGTGGATAGAACTATTTTACTTTCACATAACTACCTAGAATGTACATGTCCATTGGACAAATGCTCACCTGCCTTTCATTAATTTTATTCAGAAAGTCTGGATTTTGACAATCTTAACTCAACTAAAAGTTTTCAGTCCTTTCAGTTTTTGTACGAAATCACACCTTGCCAGAAAAGTCTATGCTTTTCAGTTACTTTTAACTTCCCATTAGTTTTCTTTAACGTTAAGATTATTATGACCAAAAGTTCCAAATTAACAATGAAGAGGACATTCTTTCTCATAAAATATAAGCCTGTAAAATATTTGACATCATGCTTGTAAAGCCTATATTTACAGCTGCTTATAGCTTTTTCCTGGTCACTTTTCAAGAGATAATCTGACAACATTGGCTCTCTCTCTGTATCTCTCTTTTTTTGTTGTTATTGGTACCGGGGATTGAACTTGGGACCTTGCACTTGCAAGCAGGTGCTGGAACCACTGAGCTAAATCCCCGGCCCAACGTTGGCTCTATGAGTGAGTATACAGTTGCTTACTTCTCTAACAGTTATGAAGCTAATAACTCTAATCATTAATGCTCACATACTTGAGGCTTTTGGCAAACATAATAAAATTTATACATGTAAAGTTAGTAGTATTTAGTATTTTCATATTTACCTGAATTGTGGTATTTTTCCCCAACATATTCAAATGCAAAGAGTAGCTGGAGGTCTGTTGGCTGGGAATAATGAGCTATTGCAAGGCATACCTAGGAAAAATTCTACATTTAGAATTTGATTTTAACACACTTCGATGAAATGTACAGTAAGGCCTCGATCACCTGGGGCATCATCCTGGGGCAGCGATTTTAGATACCATTTACATGTCCTTCTATGACCTAGAATGTGAAAGAGCTCCTTAGGCCAGGTACCTCATTCACTGCTGTGCCCCAAGACACTGGACACTGTTAAATCTTGTTAGTACATGGAAATATTCAGCGTACATTTGCTGAGTTGAATTTTGACTGGGAGTTAATGTTACTCCAATAAATAAAACTTTAAAGGAAAAGAAGCATTCTCCAAGAAAGCAGTGACAACATATCCACTCGAAAAAGAAAAAAAAAAAAAAGTAGAAAAAACTTTCAATTTGATGAACTACAAAAGCTCCCTATGAAGCATACTAGCTACTTTACTGTTTTAATGAAGTCACAGATTTAAAAATCTGAACAGAAAAGTCACAATGCAAAAAATACCAGAAATACATACATGGGTGGTATTGAGAAGTATAGTAAAAAACTGTTTAAGTAAGATGGTTCAAACTGTGCCCTGTGATGGAGTGTGGGCTTCTTTAGAATCAGAGAAATCAAGGCTTGAATGCTAGGTTCCACTGAGCATGAAATATACAACTAACTTGGGTGAAGTTAATTCCTCTTTTCCAGCCTCATTCTCCTCATCTGTGAAAGGAAAGTAATACCTACGCTGTTATAAGGATTGACAATCTTAATATATGCTTGGCTTTCAGAGGAACTCTGTATATGGAAATATGGTTGTCATTCCCAGTTGTTGGGTAGAATGAAAGATGCTGCTCTATGCTTACAAACCCTGGAAGAAAAGTCCTCAAATGATCAAGGAACAAGAAATTTAAGACATATGCTAGGAAGAACAATAGACAACCTTACTTAAAAAGATTAGGTATCAGTAAGAAGGTAAAACACTAGGCCAGAAATGAGATACCTTCAACAGTGAGCAAGCGAGGAAACTGTTAGTCAATGTCAAATTAATGGGGTCTGGAGTGGGTTGACACAAACTCCATTAGCAGTGCATAATGTCAGCATGCTGCTTAAACATTTTTAAAAGCCTTGCATAAAGTGAGTATTTCCTATCTTGGGTAATTAAAATGTACAACCAGGGACACAGAATTTACTAGTGCTGACACCCTCCCCCTGCAAAATCCCAAAACTTATACCTTGATTTCTCAAGGCTTATTAGCTTTCTATAAGGGTCCCACCTACAAAATTTAATTTCTATTCCTAATCAGTATAAGCATCTTGTTTAAAGCACTTTTAGAAGCACAGCTATTGAAATCTGTACCTTCAGACAGTTCTCATCACTTCCCATTCCTTTAAGCAGCAAATTTGTTTCTAAACACGGTCTAACTTTTCAGGTCTACCTCAGTTTGCTACACTGCCATAGCCACATTCTTAAGCTATACTCACCTCAGCTTCTCTGTACTCTAGAAATCCACACCACTACACTTAAGAATTATCTTCTAAACATATAATTTTGGCTAATAATACTGCTCTCTTGATAAATACTTGTGGTTCTCAGCTACACATTTCATTAAATTAACTTATTTTTGATTTTCACAAAACGTCCTCACCATACATCTATTACTTCTCAATGTCCCCTCATTTTCTTGGTCAAAAAAAAAAATGTATGTGTACATTCTGTCTGACCTGGCCCGAGACATCTCCTGTCATTCTCAACCTTCGGGAAATCATTCTACTCCTCCAGGGCAATCATGTTTCTTGGAAATTAGTATGTCTGTTCAGTACTACTTTTTCTCAAGCCATCCTAGACTGAGTCAATTTCAGAGTATCAATTCGAAAAACCTTTTTATTGTCCTCAAATAATGATTCCAATATATAATATCTCATTGGTTAATTGTGCTTAAGTACCTGTACTTTTAAGGTATTCAAATAATAATCATGAGTGTGCATAAAAAGTAGTCCATAGGTAGCTCCTTATTATACCAGTACCATTAGTTCCTTTCCCTTATGGTAGATGCCAAATTTCTCATTCATTCAACAACTATTTACCAAGCATCCACCACATTCTAAGCTCTGGGAATGAGATGAACAAAACAGACACAAATCCATGTCCTCAACAAACTTATATTCTAGTGGGGAAGAAAGACACTAAACAAAGAAAAAAAAAAGGACAACAAATACAATAAAAGTTAATTATTTAAGCATAAAGGAGAAAAAAGTAGAAATGAGAAAGGAAATATAAAGTATAATACCGAGAGAAATTTAGAGAAGACAAAAAAGCGCTCTCTGCATAGACTAAATACCTGAAGACCTGGTCCTGGCATTTTGTTAGCATCTCTTCAGTTACTCTCTGAAGGGGCACTGTGTGTCTAACAGGGGCTGCACAAACACTACTACTTCATAAAATTAGTTCCTAACATATTAGTGAAAATGCTCCTACCTGAAAGCATTAAGATTAGAAAATGGTCACAGGTCCAGATTACAAAAAAGAAATGGGCCCAGTGTACACAGAAGTAACTCATAGAAAACTGATTGTGGAATATGCCTTTTTGTGGCCACAAGGCAAAAAAGAAACAAAGTCTATCTGCAAAGCAAAACTCACTAAGACTTCTAAAAAAAAACTCCTTTAAAATAACACAGTTTTATGTTGAGTTAGGAAACAAATGAGATATGCCTAATAGCTTTTACATTTAAGAAGACCTAAAAAAATTATGACAACGAAGCTCAGTTTAATGACTTCCATAATGGATGATCTTCTAAGGGTAGTAGGAAGGGGAAGAACAATGTGAACTACATTTCCTGCTGCTCAGCAGTTTAATTACAAGTGTATACAACTTGTTTTCATATAACCTAATTAAGAGGTATGTCTGGGTACATACACAAGAACATGTATGAACTTGGGTATCTGAAGGACATTGGTGCTGTTACTGTGGAACACTGAGAAGAGAAAGAGAGCCTGGTGTCTTTTTCTTTTTCAAGCATGCTATTTCAGAACTGTGCCCAAATTCCTAGCCTCCTCAAAGTTTCTGAAAGACTTAAAAAAAAAAGTCTCATTTCCATGTAAAATTATTCTTACTTTGCAAGTATTCCCTAGGCAATAAAAATGTTTAGAAAGACTCTAATACCCCTAGTCCATGATTTCTCTTCTATGACCAGCTAAGAGTACAGTACTGGAGAAGCACAAATCCAAAAAACACTCAAACGTCTAGATCTACCATATTTGCAAACAAAAAACTGGCTTCCATGTTTCTGTGGAAAGCCACCAATGAGCATAAGATTCCAGGCAAAAATGACAGTCCAAGAAAAGGCCAAAGTGTTCTTTAATTAGACGAATTGACTCCATCTCTAGAAAACATTCCTGAATAACTGGTTCACAACAATTTGAGGATAAACTAAGGCAAAGGCCATATATTTTACTTACTATACATCCATCTATCTACCTATTTGAATTATTGTAATAAGTGGTAAGTCATTCAAAATAACATTTTTTTCGTTCTTTGCCTGTTTTGAGCAAAGGATCTTCAAGTGGTGGCTCACAGATGCTATGAAGTTAGATGTCCAAATCTATACCATCAAAGTCCTTCTTTCTTTATAGAGACCTTCTCCAAGTATCATTATTTTCCCAAGACAGCCCAAAGATAATAAGGATGAGTGGTAGTGGACACAGTTGTACAGAGCAATCTAATTTACTCACAACTGAGAAAATAAAACAGCCAGGTTTTAGAGCAACATTTAACAAAATGTGAACCAGTTTACTATTCTAGGATCCATCTTTCAAACAAACTATAAACTATAAACATTTAGCATTTCAATTCTAATCAATGGTTCACCCATCAGAGAACTCTAAAAAAATTTTTTTTAAAAACCTATCAGAGAACTCTAAACGTGTATCTGGTCATTTTTAAACAATTTATAAAATCAAAATGTTTTCTAGACAAAAGGTAGCATTCAAAGCTTCCAGGAGGTAGAAATGACTTATAACTTACCAACTGCTACCTAATTTTAGATTAAAACTTTCACTTGCAATTAAAGAGTATGCTACAGATTTTGTTTAACTCACAAAGCCATTACACTTCAGTAGCCAAAAATTAACTTATGTCTGAAAACATGTAAATCATAGAAAAAAATTTCTGTGTATCCTCATTTTCTCATGACTGTACAAAACACAGAGTATTTCTTTCAGGCCTGAGATAACATGCTTTTTATATTTTAAGATATCAGGAAAAGGACTTTCTTGTCAGAAAATTGGTCTTGGGAAAGGGCATCAGATGGATGAGCTTGCTTTGTGTAGACAGTTCAATGAGGCCTTCTTCATCATTCACCAGCGGCACAACACACAAGGGAAACCCTGAACTGACAGAGCACTTATTACGTTTTGTTCATTTGGCAACTATTTATGTGTAGGACATCTTTCATGCTACTATTTTGTGCTGTTACCTAATCCTCATTTGTTTTTGCTTTATCTTCTCAACTAGACTTATCTATTTTAGGGAAGAAACTGTATCTTGCCTTTCTAAATTGGGCACATTGCCTGACATGTCAAAAATGACCACTGAGTGAGCAATGCCTTGTCTGTAGAACACGCCACTTCTGGGCTGAAAAGCTGGGGAAGAAACTTAATTGTCTTTTTGGCATAGATTAGGAAAACTTAAGAAACTAAGTGTGCTGAAGTCTCTTACTGGCCTCAGTGGATGAAGTGAGCTGATAGTGTTAATTCAGATTTAAGAATTATCTGAATTTTGGTTTGTGTAGATTTACAATCTACACTATTAGAAAAGCGGACAGCTTTTACAGTTCCATGTGTGTACATAGGCTCCCCCACATCCACTAGTTACTGAACTTTGTAAACTGACATTGTAACATTACAATAATGTTTTGTTGCACCAATTTCATAAACTTTACAGTGCAATACCTGTTACTTTTCTGAGGCAAACCAAAGGTATATTTCTCAAGGTTTTTGCTGCCTTCTTTAGCAGCATTTGATGGATCTTTTATACATTTGTAATAGGAAAAAATTAAACAGATTGCAAATTCTTTTAAAAATCTTAGACCATGTACCAACTTTTTGGTTGAAATTGTGTAGGATAAGTTAAATTGCATTCTCTTAACCAATATGAGTGTATTTCTGTAAGCATAGTTATGCTGAAATAAGCGTATATGAAGAAATATTTGGGAAAAAAAAAAAAAAAAAAAAAAAAAAAGACCACTGATAGCTAGATAGCTCAAGAACTAAGTTAATTATGACCTCGATTTTCTCAGTGTTATCTGATAAATACAGTAATAAAGGGAGGGATTTAAACTTTCTAAAGGAATATTGGCCCACTGTATCAATTTCTTACTTAAAAATATTCTATCTTAATTCAGTCTCACAAATTCTGAGGTATGCCTACTCTTGAGATGCCATACATCTTGAAGTTCACATGCAGGTACTTGCTGCTTTGGGCAATGAAATTACCAATATATTTTTAAGTCTGAGGAAAGTAATTTGGTCAAATATTTTACATAGATAGAGTGTACTATCTACTCAATTCTAAGGCCATTCTTTATACAAACATGCATCTCATGTAGGTAAAATGCCAAAATCACAAACAACAGAATCAAATAGCTGAAAGAGACCTTAAAAGTTATCAAGTTGGGCCGAGGATTTAGCTCAGTGGTTCCGCCACCTGCCTCACAAGTGCAAGGACCTGAGTTTGATTTCCGGCACCAAAAAAACAAGTTATCAAGTTGCATTTTCAATTTTGCAGCACACCTACAGGTAGTTATCCAGGCTGTATTTGAAAACATCTAGTCACTCTGCTGGACAATACCAGTGATCATGTATTTGCAGATATCTGTCACACGCTTGCCTTCCTGTGAAGGAACTATTGGCTCTAGTTGTAAAAACAAATTTATCACCTCTTCACCTAAGTATATGAAGATAACTGCCTTAAGATCCTTTTGATAGCTTCATTTGGTATCACCAGGAATTTTACTGCAGTCTACTGATGGTGGAAAACAAATGTGTCTTTGGTGGTGCAAAGACTGCTTTAATTCTGAGAAAAAGCAAACTCCTTAGGCCATGAATACACCATTACTGTATTTCCAATGTATAGGAGCTTTTCCTCTGGAAATTCTATCACTATTTTCTACAATGCTGCATCAGACTAGAACAGAGGGGCATTAGGTCTACCAGCTTCACTCTTCTGGCAAAGCCAAAACCTGGAATACATGAAGTGGAGATTTTGCCCTTTAATTTCACTTCACAAGTGAGCAATAAATACTGCAAGATAGGGAAGAAATAAGCCAATTTTAAAATCCTAGCTTTGAGCTGCCCGTCAGGTATCACTTAAATTAATTCAATTCTTTAAACTGGGCCACGGATTTAGTTCAGTGGCACCGCACCTGCCTCACAAGCACAAAGTCCTGAGTTCAATTGCCAGTATTAAAAAAAAAGAAAAGAAAGAAAAAAATTCTTTAAACTACTACTAATTATTAGGTCCTTCTTATAAGTACATATTTTCTAATTCTGATGTATCTTAAATGTGGCTTTGTTTCTTAGTAAGGTTCTGTAGAACTGAACTAAAACCCTTACCAACCTCAATTATAATACATCTCCTATTTCCCAACCCTTTTTAAGCAAGACAGAAACTAGGTGGTAATGAAAAGTCCCACACAAGACATGAAATTGGTAAATACAGAGCAGAAGCCAGAACTTTATGAAACTTAACAGTATTACCTTTTTGGCACTTTCAGGACCTGATTCATCAAAGCGAAATCTGACAATTCTGAAATCTTTACAATAAATAATTAACTCTGTTGGATTAAATTTCAGTTTCTGGTTGGGGCCTAGAACTTTCTGCTTTCTTTTGTGGTCATTTACTAAAAAAGAAAAAAGAAAAAGGTGTCAAAATCTTTTTTATTATGCATTCTTTACAACACTGTGTAACACATTTTTAGTGAAAAGCATTGGAAAGTCACCCATAACTTGGGCTCTGCTTATCTGAAATCTTCATATTTGTCTGTAACTATTAGAACTTCAACGGAATAGGTGTTAACTGTGTTTCTGAAGATACTTTAAGAGTCTGTGATAAAACCACCAACAACTAGATATAGTTAATGATTAAAATTTTAATGAACAAAAAGCTATACGTTCTGTATCTCCATTTTAAAATGATCCATCTCTCTCTTCCATGAGTATTACTGGGGACCCCTCCCCCACAATAAAGTGATAGTAAACCTACAGAAACAAAATTGCAACTGAAGTATCTGAGAGATAGGACTCTTGGTGGAAGATTTCCAGAATAAAATCAACTTCAGACACTTTTATTTAACAGACAAGGTCTCACTATATTGCCCAGGCTGCCCAGAAAGAACTTTGGGCTCATGTGACATCTCCACCACCAATGTGTCAGACTACAGGCAGGCATCATCTTACCCAGCTACAACTCTTAGAGACAGTTCGTGCTAAATACCACATACCTGTAACAATCTGCTCAACACATGTTAAAGGGACATCATGTTCTCCAAGAAGAAGGTTTCTGTAATGGAATTTCTGAAATAAAAAATTATGTTCACATTAATTCTTTTCTCATTAACTTCAGTGACAATAAAATCCTCATTTTTTATTTTAAATTTGGGAAAAAGAACTAAGTAGTTTAAAAAAATTTATGAAATCAGTAAAATAGTATTATATGACAATTTGGTAAATGACTAAATTTTTCTCTTTATGACTAAGGAAAAAGTATCTTTGCTTTTTTAAACAAGTTAAAAGATTTGGAAGCTAAGAAATAACTCTCCTTCAGTTTACATAACCAATGATCACAAAGGATAAATGAACCAAAGTGACTTAGAATCATCTCATTAATTGTATTCCTCAAGCAAGCCTCAACATTCCTAGTTTTATTTTGAATTTTAATAGAATACGTTACAAAAATTAATAATTCTTTGATAAATTCATTATAATTTTTCCATACTTGTGATTATATAACAGCATGTACTGCTTAGAGTGTACAAACAAAACATACCTGTAATGGCATTGGGTCATCAGTAATAAAGGAGATTTTGAAGTTACTGCATATTAGCTTTCCCCATAAATCATACTGGCTTGTGTCTGTTGCAATGCATTTTCTCACAAAGTTGACTTCATTTACAACAATTTCTCCTTAAAAAAAAAACAAACAAAAAACTGTAAGCTACAGCTATGCCATAAAATGCCAGTCATATGTAACCTAGAAGGAAGATTTCATAGTTTGATTATTACAATGATGACAGTTAAGAAGGAACATTCACTGCTAACCATGGCACTGAAGTCCTCACTACAGCAACAGGTGCCCATTCCCAAGGGATAAAAAGAGAGGCAAAAAGAGTTTTGGGGTCTGAGTTGATTCAACCAGAAAGGCCAATCCACATCTGTACTGTATGCTCTGCTAATTGCCTATTGGTATTTACTTGTTGAAAGGCATTCTGGAGAAGAAATAAACTACATTCTCTCCCTCAGAATATTATCTTATGGAGTATTTGTGTTTTATTAAGATGTGCTTCCTCTTGTAGGGATGAAAAACAGCATTCAGTTTTACTTCTTTTAAAGTAAGTTCCACAAAGCAAAATCAAGTTTCCTTCTGCATTCAAATTATAACTCAGTAGGCAATAAGACTAAAACAAAATTTGAGTTCAAAGGAAAGATCAGGGAAATAAATGTAAAAAACCAGTACAAAGTCATGATGTACTTTTGAAAAGAATAATTCTCTATAATGTATTTAAAGTTGGATCAGCATTAAACCTTAAAATTCACGATCTAAAAACTCAATTAGTCACAGAAATATTTTGAAGCCATCCAACTCCATAGAAAAGTTAGTTTACTTATCTACTTTGCCCATTTCTCACCTTATAAAAACTTTTAACAGTGATGGCTAGAACCCACTTACTGCCCACCAACAAATACCTACCAATTCACAAAGAATAAAACCAGAGTAGGAAAGCAATTTTCTCTGTAACTAAAATTTTATAATAAATTTGAATTATAAGAATAACTTTTATTTGAAGTTCTTAAAAACTCACAAGTCCAGCTTTAATAAAAGCCCCCTAACATTTAATTGAGGATTTAACTCACATATGCTCAAGTCAAATTCCTGGCTCAAAACACTTCTGTGATTCCCAGTGGGAACACAGCCTCCTTCACATGGCCTAAGGCCCTGCATTCCTTGCTGGCCTTTGCTGTCTCCCTCCTTGTTGTTCTACTGACAATCGCCTTCTCTCAGTCCCTTACACACACTGTACTGCATCCAGCTTTGCAATGTTCTTATTTCTTCAAATGTTCTGTCTTTCTGTTAACCTCAATGTCTCAAAAATACCAAAAAAAAAAAAAAAAAACC